GCCCCCCTCTGGGAAGACTCATATATCATCGTTGTCTTGATCAAATCTGGAACCTTCAAGCTCAAGGATTCAGAGAAGAAAATCCTGCCTCATACTTGGAATACAGAGAATCTTCGTAAGTACTACAAGTAACACTCTAGTCATATGTAGTCAATGTTTGTTATTGTCTGTTGTTGTCTGTTATTACATCGCAACTTGCATACAGTGTCAATATATCTCAAAATTATTAAATGAATATCATTCACTTATTTTCCTCAACATGAAAGATATCGCTAGAAAGTGCAACGGTTCATTCACGAATCATTTCATGCTATCGACATGAGAAATACACAACTTTAATTGCATCTTAGCCAAAGTATGATCAATCTCAAGGGATTCGATCTAACATCTTTCATATAGGTTAACATCACCAATTTTTTACACCGATAATAACCTGAATAGGTTAACAATCCTTAGTAAACTACACCTGACCCCTTCCACACAGGTTCGTAAGCGAGCAATGGTCCAACAAACAACCTCGAATAGGTTAAAAAGTCCTTGGTGAACTTCCGTTGGCTTCTCCCATACAGGTTCAGATCATTGAGTAATACTTTACGCACAACCTCGAGCAAGTTAAAGACCGTGGGCGATTTATTCCCACAACAACCTCCTCACATATGAGAACTAAATGACATTTGGTATCCAATGCGGCATGAAAAGAAAACATGCTTCAAGATTATCACAAAAAGATACATGGGGGAAAATATTCAACAATTTCAAATAACTAAATAAGATGATTAACATGAGTATTATTATCGCTCATACGTCATTCCGATAAAATTTAAAAAGAAAAAAGCTACATCTGTATGGTTTTTACAACATGACAAAAGCAAATACGCTAAAAGCATATAAGGAAGATTAGAGCACTAACCGACGTCAACGTTCTCCTTCGTCACCTCGTCGTAATTGGAGAACACCTTCAATTCACTTTTGATGTCCTCACCATTATCATCTGAGGGATAATCCTCTGAAGCTTGACTGGGAGTGAGCCCTTTTACAAAAATCCTGATTCGACGTTGCGCCACACGACTCCCCTTCAGGAAATCATAGATAAATCCTTCATTGATAAACTACTTTTGCATCTCCTTTGCCTCAACATTAATTACCAGATCACGAGCCTCCTAAACATGGTCTCGAATGATACACTTGAACTGAAGCGAGTTCTTGAAGTCATTCACTGCTTTTAGCTTAACCTCTGCAACATCAACTTCTTTTACAGACAACAAAATCAAATCTTTGCCTCTTAGACGAACACCATCGACTTAAAAGCTTTCATGCTCCTATTACTATCACTGAGATTGACTTGTGTCTCCACCAATGCCTCTTGTGTTCTCTCCAGATCCTAAAGTTGCAACGAGAAAGAAGTAGTTATTGTTGAGAGTTTTGTCCTACTACACTCCGTCAACTGTGATTCCAGAGTCGTGACTCCTTCAATCTCAAATTCATATCGACGCTTAGACTAGCCTTGGAGATACTTGATTTTAACAAATTCGGAGTTCAATTTTCTCAGAGTCAGTCCTAGCCCCATCTGAATTTTCACCATTTTATTTATCTAGAAGAAGAGAAGTCTGGGTCAGACTAATAACATGATTATACAATGACAAAAAATTAAAAAAACTTACAAAACTCTCAGCCTTCAAGAGCCCAGTACATTCATGAGAACACATTCTTGGGAAAATATGGATAGTCAAAGGACTAAATAGAGACTTTTGCGATTCTTTAACCTTCATATTGTTTTTGAGGGAGTACTTCACTATTGTTGTTCATTGTGGGTCGCTTTGAGGATACCACGAGGGCTGGTTTGGAAGGTCCTTAAATTTCCTCAATGCTATCGTCATTGAGGAAATCAGGGTAGAATGAAAGCTTGGCCTTGAACAATGGTTTCTCGCCCACAAATTCATGAATGTATTGCGTCTCAAACAGTATCCCCTTAAAGTCACGAAATCCTAATATTTGCAGTATTTACTAAGTATTCTGAAGAGATAACTGCTAGAACCTTCATCGCCTCCCACAGAGCTGTCAATCGTTCTTTGTAAAGAAGAATCTCACGGACCATCGTCTTATCGATTTTTGAAGGAGAAAATCCAATTTCTTGTGCTTAAACATCACAGACACTTGCATGTCACTAAAAAATCAGCAAAGTCGTGCTAAAATTGTCAGTTTAAACATCAACTCGCGACTCATAAAAAAACGGTCAACCCAATAATGACTGTCATCACCCAACACGACAACTAAGCAACACAAACTCCAAACACAAACTCCAAACGACTTCGTGATTTCGATAAACTCAGATGCCGGAAAAACTGTAGGTCAGCTCTCAAGGCTGCCCCATGAACAACAATAACCGAGGAGAAAATGCTCAATTGGATAAAGTCGGTAATTTCACCACCATGTTATTTAAAAAGTAGTACTTCTTTCGAAACAAAATCAAGTTGCTCTCCGCAGAATTGACGTTGCATCCTCCGAGTTATGGCCCTTCCTCTGGTTTTCAGCAGAATGAAATTCTTCAGTTGTCGTCACTTCCACAACGTGAAAGATTTCATTGCTCGATTGCAATGCAGGACGAAGACAACTTTCCTCTTGGTCGTAGCATGAAAGAAGATCATTTTGTTCGTCTGCTACACAGGATAAGGAAGACACGACTTTCCTCTTTGCCATAACAAGAAGATCTCGTTGCTCGCCTACTACGCAAGACGAATATGACTTTCCTCTTGACCTCAACACAAAAAAAGATCTTGTTGCTCATCTGCTCTATAGAGCGGGGACGACTTTCTTCTTCTGAGAAATCTCAAATCATCTACTGGGAAGAGACGGGGACTCCACCTCTCTCATATTCTTCTTGTCTATTTATAGACTCATTATTCATAACTAAAAATTAAAACAATTCATTAAAACAACAACAAAGCCTCAATCCCACTAAAATTAATGCAATCCATTAAAATGATAATGATAATAATAATATTAATAATAATAATAATAATAATAATAATAATAAATGATAAAATCTGCTTCGAATTCATGGATTCATATACATAAGTTATATGCAAATGCTATGAATTCCCATTTAACTTTTTCGTATGCATAAAATGTATTTAACGTTTTGAGTTCCCCTATTTACATTCTGCCAAAAATATATATCTAGACACATTCTAAAAATCGCCTAAATTCCCCCAATTCAATTGTCACCGTTAGGCGGTCCGAATAATGTCGCCATTCAGTCGCCAATCTACTGAAATGTCACGAAAAATTTGTGTTATATTCAAAAGCTTTGGCTGATAAGATCTTCCAGTTCAATAGTCGGATTAAACATATTTTGTATCGATTATATGAGAAATTATCACACGCCGCTTATAAGCCAATATGAATTAATATGAGAAATAGCTATAAGTTCTTATATTAATAGTAATTATACATTATAAGTGTAATCTCCCATTATTCAATATTTTGTTTATATATATAATATATATATACACACTAAAAAGCAGTTTGTCATTTACTTTGACAGCATCCAAATCTTATGCAATAACAATAATAATAAATAAAAATCAAAAAAGAAAAACTCAAGTTCGCAGAATTTTGATACTTTCGAATGATGAAATTGTTCTTGCCCAAAAATAAGGAGGGAATTGATATGTTATCAATAAATTTTTATCATCCGACACAAATTTCGAGACATGACATAAATCTTGAGGCAATTTATTGAACAAAAATGTTCAAACCTTGATAAAAAAACATTCATAGCTTAGATTTCAGCAAATTTATAGTCAAAATGTCCTGCTCAACGAGGCGAATCCAATGGTACAAAATCAGTCTAATCTGAGCCAAATCAAATTCAGATTAAACCATTAACTCACTTTTGAAAGCATTCTGTACATATTTGGAAGGACAAACAAATGTCAAATCTGACGAGTTTATAGTCGAATATAGCGTCTCGACAAGACGAATCAAACAAGCCCGAGATTGCTCAATTTTGGCATTATTAAAGCCCACAAATGTTCATCAAACTTCATCTGATCAAAGAAAACTCTCAAGACCGTCTGATCAAAGTGGTTTATATTTCTGCATTAATTGCACCTGAAAATCTAAAAATAAAACCTCACCCCTCATGAGGGGAAAGGGGAGATTGAGGCTTGAGGAAGAGATATTGAGGCTTTGAGAACGAGCTGAAGTCCAACACCTCCGTCGAGCATCGCCGACCATCGTCAACCGTCACCTTTTGGTCGCCACCGATCACCATCGGTTGCGATCCACTTCTTACAGCAATTTCATCAGCAAGTCGACGTTGTAACTTGAGAAACCTAGTAACTCTTTCTCGCTTGTAGGACAAGTGGTTGCAACTGTAATCAACTTTTTATAGTGGAACTCTTCAACTGTCAGACCCTGTGGTTTTTCATTTTTTATGGTTTTCCACATAAAAATTTTTGGTGTCATTATTAGTTGTTTTCTTTTTTTCGAGTGTGTTTAATCTGTGTATGACAACAAGACAATAATTTGTTACTCAACTGACGCGAATTTTCTAGCACACATTAATATGTATGGTAAATATATGGCATGTGTGGGCCAAACAATAAAAATAGTTCTATTGAACTTTTTCTAATTCATAATTTTCAAGGTTTGATTGTTCCCATGTCTCATATAGCTAAGTTCACATGATTCCGGGTATGAAGTTCCAAATATTTTGGCTGGTATTGGATCATTTAAGACAAACTCACCTGATATTACTAACCTATCAAACATTCAGTACAATGTGCAGTTATTTTGTCCAACTTTAATGCAAGGTGTCGAAATTTTCCAACTGCTATTACTTTCCAATGATTTAAAACTGCTATTGTTTATTATACCATGATCAGAGCGCATGTAACAAAACTTAATATGATGAAGTAAAAAGATATCTTATTAGTACACAAAAGAGTGTTTATCTATGTCAATGTTTCACTATTTTGGTAAACATGAGTAAATACCTTGTCCAATTTCCTCCCCCAGCACAAGGTCTTCCCAACGGATTTCAGAGTCTGCAACCAAGTTTGGTTCTATTTCATCAACAGTTGATGAATCTGATTGGCTACTAGCAATATTTTCTAAAGCAGAAACTGATTTTGAATGCTGACAATCTTCCATCTTTGGTGATGAATTCTTCTTTGATATTTTTGCTTGTTCTGGTGAAGCTTCCAGCAAGTTCTCTCCATTTTGCAGCATATCACTATTCTCCATATTAGTTATGAAACATTGTTCAAGACCTACAATTGGCAAAAGAGTTGTTAAAACATTAAATTCCAAACATCACAATACTGAATAAATATTTTGCAAACACATCCTGCTTACTTGTACTCCCATTTCTGTAAGCAACCATAACTGTTTCTTTCTTAGGACAATATTTCCCTTGATTGCATGGAGCGCAACATTTTGCGTCAATTTCACTGGGTCGTGAAATTTCTGCATGTTGATCCTGTATCGAGAAAAAATTGTCACCATTACACATGGCATCTGTTAAACCCCGAGAAGCATTTCAACATGCTTTTCTGAGTGGTACTATAATGATGCCAAAAATAAATGCAAGAAAGCATCAAAATTACGACAGCGCCGGGACATACATTTTGTAATGAACCATCACCTAAAACATATGCCGAGTTAGTTTCTGCATCTCTCTCCAATTCTGATGTCTGACTACCATTTATTCGGATGTTCAGCTTTGCAAGAAATTTCCCAGCCTGATATTTTTCAAGATGAAAAAAATCACATAGAAAAGAAAATTCCCATTAAATTTTAAATAGCAGAACAAACGCTAAATAACACATGAACCAACACAAAAAGTAGATTGCTGAGCTATTTCAGGAGGAGCATGCAGGTAAAAATAATAGCAGCTGAATTAGTTTATAGTCTCCACACACTTTGATGACTTTTATATGGTTGACTTTTGTCATGCTATCAAAATGAGCTCCAGTTAATTCTCACAGACCATACATTCAAAAATTGGGTCTCAAATTAGGACGAATCCATCACTTATTGATAGTATAGGGGATAGCATGCTTTGCTAGTCCGGCATATATTAGTACTCTGGAAAAAAAACTCACCTTCACCATTTTTAGGGTGCAGTAGATTATGTGGAAAGGTTAAAACTCGAGAGATATGACCAAATTTCTAAAATGATTAAGTATGGAAGAAGATATTGGTGCAATTGATGCATACCAGATTTGAGACAGATGATGTAATTTGAGGTTGTGGAGACCACTGTACTCTATTAAACTTCAAATTGGGCTCTGTTGGCTCTCTCAGAGCTTCATCAAAATGTGATTTTGGTCTATCTGGTTTTGCATTGTTTAGCATTGAGGCATCGCTTGAGACAGCAATAATACCAACACACACTCCATTCTCATACAATGGGTTTGCAGTTACCATTGCCATGAATAATTCGTCTGACCTCTTCCTAAATGAAAACTGAACAGACCACGTTTCTCCACCACATGCTCTTTCCATAATGCTTTCCCAATTAGAATGATCGCATGCATCAACAAGTAGATCAGTGACCTTCTGGTTGAGCGCTTCATAGCTCTTCCATCCATAAAGAAATTCTGCTGCTCGATTCCTGGTAGATTAAAATCTAAATTAATCAACTGAACTGGCAAGTTTTTTTCCTATTGCAGCATGCCTTGTAACATGAGAATATGCTGTTATACTTGGAATTGTGTGTTCTGAGGCACTTTCCCTTCAATTCATGGTCTTTGTTCTGAAGTTATAGAAATCTACTTCAGTGGCTCAGGCCAATGTATAAGCAAATGGAAGTGGAAACTTTTCAGTTATTTCAAGTTTCATCCTCTATACAATTCGCCATTTTCTTGGTCATCTATCAGAGCAAAGTGATTACAGAGATTCCTCACCTTTACAACTTCGCATAAATAATGAAAATTGCATAACGTTCAAACAATTCAATGTATCAGAAAGTCAAAATAATAACTAGGAAACAATAAAATAGTTAAGAATAAAATCAATGCATGTCTTAAACTCTGCCAGCATTGCCATGTCAAGTTAACATCAACTTTATACTCTGTATTTCTAGGCTTCCACAAACACCAAAGGAGCATAATACAGGAGCATTTCTAACTGTTGCATGCTAGAAAACTTACGGTGGTAGAATAGGCTATTTTACATTCTAGTTTTGCATGAATAGATAGAGAAAAAAATTAAGATAGTCCAAATTTTTTACATGAAAAACCCAAATAAGGAAAAAAATCATAGGGCCTATCATAAATAAAATAATTAACTATATTAGTTGAATTACGAAGATCTGCTTTTTCATTTAATGGGAAAAGAAAAGATTATAAAAAATGCAGTTCATATTAGGATGTTCCAGGTAAATGCGGCGGAAATAATGCGGGGAGAAAACAGTGTCGGTGATGAATGTTGAAAGACAACAGTAGAATAACATTACTTGAAAGCAACAATTGGATGATAACGATCAAACAATGAGGATAGGAACACAATAATCAAATGGCCTTGGTCTAATGACCAGAATTGGACTATGATGGTTGGATGATGAGAATCAGACAATAGTGGACGAATGACGCCAATTGCGCAGAGCTCTAAAACTCTTCAAATCTCCAAGCTCTTTTCAAACTCAAATCTAGGTCCTAATCATGTGGAGAATGAGAATTTATTTAACTTCTTTAAAAATAATATTGCTGTAAATCTAGCCAAAATACTAAAACACTGTGTTGGACTGCTCATATTAATTTCTTTCATTGCAGGCCATTCTTTCTGCGTTTAATTGTTTTAATAGCCACACGTTGAATAATCTTAGGCTTATTAAATTCTACTCGCCGGGACACTCTATTTAGCCATAAGTATATAAGATTTAAAGATTATTTGGTCCTTCAATTAATATCTAAAAGCTTTCAATCATTATTTAATTTGGGCTCATTTGAACCTTGATTGGACCATATTTGACGTCTTATTATTCAACTCAAGATGTTCAATTCAGCTATAAAATTGCTACAATTAGAATTTGGATGGCCCGCAACTTAAATCTATTCATTACGCATTTAGAATTCATTTTTGCAACCTTATTATAAAATTGAAAAAAGTAAAAACGTTAAATTTTTTACGAGTCCTAAGAATATTTCAACTATAACAGCATAGATTAATAAAAAACTAAATAAGTTTTTACATCATATATAGGATAATTTAAGGGAGAAAAGTAAATTGTTAAAATCCACTCACCTTTAAAAATGAACCTTCTGAATTGTTGAAATTAGACTATAGAGTTGAAATTGAAGTATTGAAACCAAAATTTATGAAGTAAATAAAACCAAAGTATAACAGACCCACAAAAATATTTTGTAATTGTTGTTATGTACTAGAAAATTCGCTACAATAAAAAAATCATAAGCCTTGGTTCATTATAATTTCCCAGCACATATAGATAAAAGCGTAAAATATAATCAAATTTTTAATGTGAAAAAAACCCTTGGAATGGGAAAAATAGTGGGGCCTAACACAATTAAAATGATACACGATATAATAAAAAGTACAAAGATCCACTGTTCATCTAAATTGAGAAAGATGAGATTATAAGATTATATTGAAATTTAATGATATGAGTTAAATGCGATGTTTAAATCTAAGATTATGCTGCAATATAAGATTATGAGATTATGTTGAAATTCACCACCTGAATTAACAAGTTTTGGGTTAAATTTGTGAGCATTAATAGAGCCAATATTCCTTTCACGGAATAATTGTTTTTATTATATTTATTTATAACGACAATCAAATCACTAGTCGTCATTACTTATTATTTCTTTCCTATTAGCCTTTATTCCCTCATTATGTATTTCCTATTTGCTTTTTTCTATTTAATTTCTTTCTTATTGGTTTATTATGTTTCATTTCTTTCCTATGTTGTGTCTATTGTAATTGGGTTTAAATATCTCTCATCCTATCAATGAAATTAAGCAGTTTTATTTCAAATCTCAACATGATATCAGAGTCAAACCCTAGATCCAACAGTCACTGGCCTTCTCTGCCTGAACCAACAGTCGGTGGTTCCCTCTTCTGATTTGTCCGTCACAGATGTTTCTTGCTCCTACTATCAGTTTCCTAGGGGTTGCTTCTACAACCGTTGATTTTCCTGATTCCACCTGTCGCAGACTCTATAGACGTTGGTTCTACAGAAAGATGCAACAACAGTATTTTTTCTTCTATGACAGTAGCAACCATAGATTTTCCTGATTTCAACTACCGTTGACTCTACAGACACTGATTCTACAGAAAGAAACAACAGCATTTTTTCTTCTATTTCCAACAACCACAGTTCTTTGCAGGTATCCAAAGTCCTAAAGTTGTATCCATCTACCATGACACTACTGGAATCTACTAATGGCTCGAAACCATAACAACATCTACTTTGGCTCAGTTGGAATTATGATTGATTCCTCCAACACTGGATCATCTTCAGTGTTCTTGATTATACCAGAGGATCAATTCCAACCTCCGCTCCCTTATAGACCGGAGGACTAGAAATCAACAATTTCTTGATCACAATCCATAAATTAAATGACAGTAACTTTCTCCAATGGTTTCAATCTGTTTCTTTGTTCATCAAAGGACTGGGAAGTTCAGTTACCTCACAAGTATGATTCGTGAGCCTCCAAAGACTGACCTAACAGAACTCCATGATCATGTCGTGGCTGATCAACCTTATGGAGACTTCGATTAGTTGTTCATACATGTTCCTCCCTTCAGCTAGTGTCCACTAAACGGATGTCCGAGATGCCAACTCGGATGAAGGAAATTCTAGCCAACTCTATATGTTATCTAAGAAGATCAGGGACACTAAGTAGGGTCAAGGATCGTGACCCAATATTATAATGACATTTTTACACTATGGATAGAATGTGACATGTACTACGACTATACTTGGGAGTCTCCGGCTGACCTATCCCTCTACCAGAATATTGCAGAAAAGGATCGTATGTTCCAATTCCTGGTTGTCCTTAAAAAAGACCTTGACGAAGTCTGAAGCCGTATTCTTGGACGGAATTTTCTTCCTTCCGCTCGCGTTGCTTTTACTGAGATTCATCGATAAGAAAGCAGGAGGCTTGTCATGCTCGACACTTCTACTCCTTCAGTCGAATCATTCACATTGATCTCAAATAGTGTTCAACCCTCGTCCATGCCACTTCAGACCAGTCACCTCACTTGCGATTACTGTCACAAACCCAACCACACCAGGGATAAGTGTTGGAAACTTCATGATAAGCAAACATACAAACCTTCAGTCAAATCCTCTACTTTCAAGGGTCTCACAGTGATGGTCGGGCCTGCCATGGCTCAACCAACTTCTCGAAACATCCTAGAATCCTCTAAATCCTGAAAATTCAGTGGAGCAATTGATCAAGCTTCTTGGAGCCAATCAAGTCTTTAGGGTCGTCAACCTCTTACGTCCGACAAGGTACTCTTCCTATAACTCTCACAGTTTATTCCTCTAGTTTATGGATTATTGTTTCAGGTGTCACTGATTACATGACCGGATGTTCGCAAGCTTTCTCAACTTACTATACGTGCTCTGAAAATAATAAAGTCAAAATTGCTAATGGTTCATATAGTTTTATTGCTAGTAAATGATTAATTGTACTAACAGCCGATCCAACTCCAGAGTCTGTTTTACATGTTTTTCAGTTGAAATGCTACTAGTTATCTATCAACAAGTTAATAAATGATGTTGATTGTATTGCTAATGTCTCTTCTGATGGTTATGTTTTTAAAGATCGTCATTCGAAGAGGGTGATTGGAATTTCTAAGAGGGTGGTTGAATTCTACTATTTTTAAGATAAGAGCACGGAGAATGAGGACAAACCTCTCAAGAGTTATAACGTATCTTGAATCATTCAATGTCTCATTATTTTGTTGCATTGTCGTTTATGTCATCCTAGTTTTCAATATTTAAAAAGGTTGTATCTTTTGATGTTTTCTAATAAAAACTATTCTAATTTCAATTGTGAGATATGTCAGTTAGCTAATCGGGTCCACTACCATGACTTCCGTTGTAACTTATCTCGAGTCATTAAATATCTCATTATGTTTTTGCATTGTCGTTTATGTTATCCTAGTTTTCAATATTTAAAAAGGTTGTATCTTTTGATGCTTTCTAATAAAAACCCTTCTAATTTCAATTGTGAGATATGTCAGTTAGCCAATCGGGTCCACTACCCACCCCACACTCACACGCCGTCTGTTCATTTCTCTCTCATTCAGAGTGACCTTTGGGGACTCTCTCGCACTCCCTGCTACACTAACAAACGAACTTTGATTGATGATCACACTCCGATGACATGGGCCTACATTATAAAAGACAAATTGAAGGTTGTTGTCATCTTCCAAAACTTTTACACCTTCGTTTTAACTCAATTCAAAACTCCTATTCAGGTTCTTCGAACTTTCGTTTTATACATGTCTCTCACTCCTGACTTTCACTCTACTGCCTCCAAAGGGCAAGTGTACAAGTTGTGGAAGTCCCTCTATGGGTTAAAGTAATCCCCAAGGGTCTGGTTCGATAAGTTCAGAAAGATGGTTGTGGGCTATAATTTTACTCAGGCTCAATCGAATCACACTATTTTTTCGACATTCCTTCAATCACCAAGTAGCTATCCTTATTATCTATCTGACGATATTGTTCTTACAAGTGACGATCTCCCAGTATTTGAGTCCTTAAAAGACATTCTTGTTAAGTCCTTCGAAATGAAGGAATTGAGACCTCTCCAGTACTTCTTAGGCATGAAGATGGATCGATTATCTCAGGACATTTGTCTATCTCAGCGCAAAAATGTGGTTGACCTCTTAACAGAGAATAACCTTCTTTTGTGTAAACTACTTGTTGTCCCTTGGATACCAATGAGAAATTATCTAACATCCAAAAAGTTTTGTCTGTCAACAAGACTCGCTACTCTTGTGGGGAAACTCATCTCTCCCATAATTGCCCCAAAATATGTCTTGTAATTGGTATAGTGAGTCAATTCATGCATGACCCCTATAAGCACCATCTCGAAGTTGACTATTGGATTCTCCACTATTTAAAAGGTATGACAGGCTCAGACCTCTCGGTCAATTATTATTTATACGGATGCAGATTGGGTCGGGTCAGTACATGATCGACGTTCGACCTCGGGTATTGCTCATTTGTATGGGAAAGTATTGTCACATAGAAAAAAAAAACAGTTTGTGGTTGCCCGAAGCAGTGTTGAAGTTGAATTTTGGTCCATGTCCTTGGAGATCTATGAAACCCTACGATTACTACCATGTTATATGAACTTTGTATGTCAAACTTTGTCCCGCGCAGCTATTCTGTGATAATAAGACTGACATTAGCATTACTCACAATTCAATCCAACATCACAATCCAATCCAGCATGATTGTGTCAAACATGTATTGACAGACACTTCATTAAGGAAAAAATTGAGTCCGAAAAATTTTTTGTTCCTCTTGTGTCCTACAGTGGTCAACTAGCAAATATCCTCATCAAGAATCTTTCTCGTTTTTTTTTCGATGACTTCAAATCCAAGTTGAATATGATTGACATCTATGCTTCAACTTGAGGGGGAGTATTAGATTTATTTATAATGGCAATTAAATTCATAACTGTTATTACTTATTATTTCTTTCCTTTTAGCCTTTATTCCCTCCTTATGTATTTTTTATTTACTTTAATCTATTTTATTTATTTCATATTTGCTTTATTCTATTTTATTTTTTTTATTTTCTTTGTTGTGTCTATTGTAATTGGGTTTAATACCCCTCCTCTTATCAATAAAATCAAGCAGCTCAATTTCACACCTCAATAGTTTTTAAGTACAATTATAGTTTTAAAAAAAGGATTACTAGCCTATTAGAGCGCTTCAACCATGGATAGATTCTCCATCCCTTTGGTCCAAGTTCAACACCTCTTGGATCGTAGTTAAACGGGCAAAACAAACTGATTTCTGATGAACCAACTAGCTAGAACATTGATCAACTTTTTATCTTTTGATTTTCATTAGATAGTTAGAAAAGAAAGATTTAGAATATAAATAGAAAAAAATAGTAAAGTTATTATGCCCCACATTTGATTTAGAAATATATGTAAAATATTCAAAAGAGAAGTGTCTTAAATTAGAACTAAATCGTTGAAAATATCATTATTATATAATATAAAATTATATTAAATAATTTTAATATTTGTACCGGTTGAACCGTTTAGCCTTAAAACTCTCCTTTCAGTTCAACAGCCGATCCAATTTTCACAACCTTGAATATAATTGAAAAGTTCTAGAAAATGCAAAAAAAAAAGATTGAGAGAGAGAGAGAGGATGCAAAAAAAAAAATGAAAAGGTTTTTTTTTTTAAGGATATTAGAGTACAATCCTGATCAGCCGTAAGCACGATGGTGACAATTGCATGATTTCATGTACATGTAGGGCAATGTCATTATGAATAGAGAATGTATTATATTGGTTAATGTTTTTTTTTTTTAATTAAGTTTTATTTATTTACTACATATTTGTATTCTTTCTTCAATTTGACTAGAGGTATGGAAGATGAATTTGGAAAAGAATGTTTTCTAGTTCCCAATTTTATTGCCATGCCTATGCCCCTTCCTCAGATTCCCTCTACTCTCCTATGAATGCAAGCAATTGTTTCAGCCGAGACACGATGTCTTCTGGTGGCGTGCTATGATGTTATTTTGCCAGTTTATCATATTCATTCTAGGTAGAAAACATTGGGTATAAACGTTGTACACAAACATTCTTCCAAATTCCCTTCATCTGAATCATTTTCCAATTATATATTCCTATAAACGTTGTACACAAACACCCTATCTCTCTTTGTTCAATTTCACCATTGGGTAGTTCGAAAATTCTCGAAGTTCATACCCAGCTTGCTTTTCCTACGCTTATTGTCAAAAATTAAGATACATACAACATCGCAGATCTTCTCCCTTCTCCCGCTTCCCCTGAAAACAGCAATCCCACGGGCTATCGGCAAATCCAAGTCGGTAGTTAAAAAGTTTTCAAGCTCGAATGATTTGAACCTCACTAAAGCATAGGAACTCATACAGTAATTAAACTCTTAAATGCATAAGAACGTCTAACTAAATCTATAATAATCTTTGGTGCAGGCATAAGAGGAACTCCAATAACTAATCAGTGAAATTAAACAAAAATTTAAAAAGCATAAGAACTTCAATCCAATCTCAACAGTAAAAATAACGCATAAGCCTATCAGATAAGAACAAACCAATAGATAATTTCTCCGGAAACCGGCCTGCAGATAAGCAGCGCGTGACCGAGCTGATGCAGAATGCTCTGATACGGATTGTTGACAAAGTTTCCTGTCATCATCATCATATCGTACTTTCCCTCCGCTCGGCCTCGCCGATTCGTATTTCGTTTCGCCTCGCCTTCATCGCCGAGCAAGACCTCGAGATGCTCCCGGAGCTCCGCCTGGCTCGCCTCCAATTCATGGAATCGCTTCACCAAATCCTCCACCGCCGCCCCCATTCAACGCCTTCCCTCTTCAATCGCCGGCGATGAACGCTGAGGCCGATTATCCAGAAGTCAGCTCCGACCACTTCCCGTCGACATTTTAAGCTCCCACTTCGATAAAAATTCTTCTTTATTGAGATATTATTATACTACCAAGCGGGCCGGCGTGCAATTTATGCTGGCAAATCAAGTTCCGAGATCAAGATTTGTAACGGCAACTTGCGCAGGGGCTTTTTGGGAAATTCAACCGAAAACAAACAGCAATACATTGCAGTCTTTCCTTTTTATAACAAGACAGGAAGATAATTATGGTCATTGGCTATGCTATTTTTAAAATATTTCATTAAATAATATTTTAAAAAGCTTGAAATGGGGGTCATCAGATATCAAGTCAAATATTAATATCTTTGCTGCACCAATTGTGTCCTGCATAAGATAAAATTTAAGAAATTAATTCATTTATATGCATTGAATTTTTATTTTAGTATTTAGGAAGGGTTAGAGAGAGAGAGAGAGAGAGAGAGAGAGAGAGAGAGAGAGAGAGGGTGATGCAATGGTGGCAAAGAGTCTCTTTTGGGGGGGCTGTAGTTTATTGAATAATCTGCTGATAAGTTAGGTGCGGTGACTACTACAAATTTATATTTTTTTTGAAAATGTTAGACTGTTACTAATAAGCTCCCATCACACTTAAATAGGTGTGGTGTGAAAAAGTTATTTTCTGCATTTTGAAAACGCATAAGCTGTCAAAACACAGTTTACCCAAATAGATCAGGTGTGTTTTTAAAATGCCACCGCACTTAAAAAGCTGCCCAGAAATAGCAAGGAGGATAAGGTAAGAAAATAAATTTGAAATGCAATTTGATATCCTTGCCGGAATTCATTTTCAATCAGTTGCTGATTAGGCAAATGGCTTTTTTTTTTTGCAAATTTTATTTTTTGATAGGGGAGAGAAAAGAAAAGTGCAAATTTATTGAACAAATATTACGTCTGGAGTCGAGACGTAGACGTAAGGATAAGTTCATAGGGGAATATTCTCTCGTGTTATTCTGCGTTATTCAGGTATTATTATGGTGATATTCATGTAGTATTATGTTCTGAAAATATTTTCGGTATTATAATAACACAATAACACCTGAATAACGTGAAATAACACAGAAGAAATATTCTCCTGTGTTACCGGGCCGAATCACAGTCGGATCGCAAGAAAACAAGTTTTTTTTTTTTCCTATCAGCTTCACGTAGAAAAGATTCATTAGACTTCAGACGTATCTCTACGTCCGGATCAATAATCCGTTGCAGAACAGAGTCAAAGCCCGGTTTAATAAGGCAATCTAGCAGTAGAATTATATTTAGATTTAGCATCCGTTCAAAACAAATTTGCCCATTTTGCAAAATTACCTTAACATGACTGAATAAATGGCAAAACTAGATTTATAATTTCAACGTCCAAAACTGACACCTGGAATACAGGAAGGATGCACGGTGCAACAACTTATAAAAATTATAAAAAAAAATACTTCCAAATAATGTTGTCATCGTTGTAATATGCCACATGGATTATGTATATACATATATATATATATATA